TGGAGGGGGCTCCTTCCTGTTCCTCCAGGCACAGGGGTGCAGCCACTGGGCTCGTGGGCTTGATGGGGGTGGAGGGTTCAGCAGTGCCCTTCCTTTTTGCAGAGAGACTTTGCTCCTTCTTAACTCCTGCAGAAAGAACAGACACCAGGATCAGCTGCAGTGATCGATAAGGAACTTATTCTGGAGTGACAAACATCAAGCATAGGATTCCCAAGGCATCTTTTAGACCAGTGTTTCTCAACCTTGGCAACTTGAAGATGTGTGGACTTCCCCCCCCGAAATTCCCCGGCTAGCCATGCTGGCTGGGGAATTCTGGGAGTTGAAGTCCACACATCTTCAAGTTGCCAAGGTTGAGAAACACAGTTTTAGACCATCCACATACCTGAATCCAACTGAGGATTTGACACATTATCTCTTGAAGGCCAACTTAAATTATACCATGCTGCCCTAAACCAGCATATGACAATTACATTCAAACACAAAGCAAAAAGATAAGGAAAGTGCCAAAATTATTTCAGTTTTTCTAAAGTGATTAGAAGCTCAAAGGCAATCTGCATTCTTTTTTTACTAGGCACATAAAGAATCCTTTCTTTTGAGGACTGCTTCAGGGCCAAACCAACCAATGCATCCTTTGATTCTGAAGATAAAGAGTGTTAGCACAACTCTGGATTTACCTCTTTTTTAAAAAAAATGCTTTTTATTGAAAATGTTAATAACAATAGTAAAAGACAATGCAAACTAAACTCAGAAAGAAAAAGAATAGAGAGAGAGTAAAAAGGGCAAAGGGAAAAAAAGAAGAGGAAGAAATAAGAAAAGGAGAAAAGAAATGTTTAAAGAAGCAACTTCCAATCTTCATCACAAGTACAAACAAACTTAGCAATTCTTCACCCCCTGTAAGTGGGCTTACCTGGGCAGTTTGACTTGAATTCCAACACAAGAGGATCAGCAGCAAGACCAGGGCCTGCTCCAGGCAAAGGGGAGAGAGCAACTTTGGCAGGGAGTGGCTCAGTGCCCCCTCCCAGACATTCAGCTGAGGCTTCGATGGGCACATCCTCCTCGATTGGGTCAGAGTCCTCCAAACATTCCCCTTCCACCTTGTTTTGAGTCATGGTAAACTCCAAGCTTTGCTGGAGTTCCTGGCACAGAGAGAAGGAGCTCAGATATCTCATAATGGCTTGGCAGATTTTAGCCCCAACATCTCCAGATATGACTGGAGGAAAATTTGGAGGGTTGCTGCCAATTAGTGCAGAAAATATTGACGTAAATAACTCAAAATTATTTCATCTTAATTTCTTTAAACAGGATTTCTTCTCCTTTGAAGAAAACATTTGTTTAGAAACCAAGAGACTGTGAGTTCTAGTCCTGCCTTAGGCATGAAGGCCGGCTGGGTGACTTCAGGCTGGTCACTCTCTTTCAGCCCAACTCACCTCACAGGGTTGTTTTTGTGGGGAAAATAGGAGGAGGAAGGAATACTAGGTATGTATGCTCCCTTGAGTTATTTATAAAAATAATAAAGGTGGGATTAAAAAAAATCTTAAAAAATAGTCTGGATTTAAATATAAATGGGTGACATTTGCATTCATAATTACTTCAAATTATCACCAACTACCAAATGAACTGAGAAAAAAGCCCACAGTTATCAAATAGTTTGGTTGCAATCTCATATATACTTTTTTTTTTTAAATGCATGCTTAAGTTGTATGATAAAAGAACAGCAGAAAATGACTTGGCAGAAAGATATTCTCCCTCCACCTTCCTCCTCTGGTTGACTCTAGACACATCTATGAAAAGCTGCTGTCCACAGAGAGTCAAGCTTTGCATTCACTCCTTTCTCAGGGTTGGGGTTGCTGCCTGTTCAGCATCCATCAAGAGAAACTACAGAGCCTTTGGGCCTCTTCGCATCACCTGTGCTAAGAAATCCTCCCTTTTGATCCTTGTTGCTCATGCTTAGCCCCAATTCTGGACCAAAGAAGAAAAAGTCACTGAAAACAGCATTTGGGGGAGCCCTGAGGCTGTGAAACAGAACTCACCATTTTTTTTTCTATTTCAAAACCATGATCAGTTGTTGAGTATCCTGCTCTAAACACTGCCTGTTCCTCTGCAAGCACATTGTTATCCCAGTCCCCTAATTGATTAGCTAGATGTTTTGCATAAATTTTGGCTGTGATGTTAATCAGGCTCTGGGTAGCTATGATCGCCTTTTTTGTATGTTGGGATCACTATGCTTGTATTCCAGCCCTGGGGAAGTTAGCCAGTGGAATTAATGTTATTAAACAGTTTAACCAAAATAGGCTTCCACCAAATGATATTAGCTAATAATAAATCACCAGGGATATAGTCTTCTTCTGGGGCTTTGCCTCATGGCAAAGCCAGGATTTCCTTTAGAGTGACAGGGGGTCAGGCTGGAATGTCACTGAAATTTAGATTAATTGGAGAATTAACAGGAATAGAGTAGGAGTCAAACAAATTAGTATAATGGTTCTCCCATTTCTCTTTGGACACTCTAGCCTCTAGGGTGTTCTTATTTTTGCCCAAATTGGCATTTACCACTTTACAGAATAATGCTGTGTCTTTAGAGGAGTGAGTGCCAAAGAGTTGTTAGATATGCTTCCTTGTGCTTTAGGAGAAGTTTATATTCTCTTTTCTTCCTAAGCGTGAAAACTGAGAGACTTTTATTACAGGTCTCCTGGTGCCAGAAAAGGATGCCAAAACACATAGAATCAGGCATCTGCTTCAGCCCTTTGCCTAGATAACAGTTCTTGCCTATTTCTGTCATCTTCCTTACTCTCTGCACCAGCACAAAACTAGTGAGAAAAAAATGGATGTATCCTCAGGAGAAAGGATGGGATGCTGCCAAAAGCATCAGGGAAACAATCCACATGATGAACTGAGGGTCCCTAGACTCTCTGGAGGGAAGGCAAGAAAATGGGCCCACCTCCTTGGCCTTCTTCATGGACACTGTGTGCAGCATGCAGCATCGAGTCAAACCAGCTGATGCTTCAGAGGGAGCAACAAAAGACTCCACAGAAATACACGGGGAAGTGGGGAGGGAAAGGGTTTCAATACGATTTCTATACTATTGGCAAGCTTAAGAATCAAAGAAAGGGAAATCAATGGATAGGGTGGGTGGACAAGATCAAGGGAGTAGAGCTACACATTATCACCAGTGACAGGTCAAGATGGAAGACCTTTGTCCATGCGATCCCCAGAAGTTGGGCTCAACTTAATGGCACCTAACTACTGTAACTAGTGAAAGTTAAGATTACTTAGCCGAAAACAGAGTGATGAGATTTAAGTTCCCTTATTGTTTAATCCCTGGATGATGCTATAATCAAAGTCCAAAAGTCAACCAACATGACTCCAAGCATTGTAAGAGCATGGATTATAACAGCACAAGAAACAGCTGCTTCACTGCACAACATGTCCTCCACAGAGCAGAAGTCCTGCTGCAGAAAAATTTCCCCACCTGGTTCCCAGACACACTTCAGACCTCTTCTCAAGCTAGTCCTCAGTTAGACTGAGAGATCTTTTTTGTTGCTCCTTTCTGCACATTTTCAAACCTAAATAACTGAGGACTGGAGAAACTCCCCTATGAAGAAACACTGTACTCTTGGGGGTCTCTGGTTTAGGAAAGAAAGGAGAATCAGCTGGGCAGGGGAAAATGATGCAAAATCTGTATGATGAGGACCGTTGAAAAGAGGTGGTTTTCTCTTCTTGGAACATTAGAACCCAAAGATGCCCTGCATGGGTAAGATATGAAAGATGTGGCAGTGGCTGCCAGCTTGAACAGAACAGGGAGGCTGCTGAAGGCTGTTATCCATGATGGCTAGCTAAACCCTCCCAGATGAGAACCAGGCTGCATCTGGATGCCAACTGTTGGGCTGGAGAGCCAGATGCTGGAGAAAATATACCTTTGGTCTGATTTGCAAGATTCCCTTGATATCCTTCTGCAATATCTTTATGACATGGCCTTTGGAAGCAATGAGAAGCAAGTTTATTTTTCCCCTTTCGAGAAGGAAGGGAAGAATTGGTTTCCAAATGCCTATGCTTGTGATTCATCTTTAATAATATGATGCATTTGATCAGACAGCAGATCTATTTACCTGGGAAGTACCATTCTCTTCACAGTCAGTTGTCTGGAGATCTAAACTTTCATCAGATTCAAAATCCTCAGAATACTCAGAAGGGGGGGCAATGTAGAGCCTAGATCCAGTTTCTGTCTTGATCTGCACAGCTTTCTGGAAGATTAAGAAAAATCAGAGTGGGAATATAAATATTACTCCCTTGAGGAATTGCTTTTAGAACTAAAGAACCTGCTGTAGCCATCACACAAGCCAGGATCAGAGCTGATCCAGACTGACTCTGCAACTGCCCTCGTTTTTGTTTTGGGATCACCTTTATCTCTCCCAACAGACATTTATTCTCAGTGCTTCTCTCTTTTATGTCTTTGTCTGTGATTGGATATTTATCCCTGTGGGTCTTACAATGCCCTATTAACAAACTGAAGACTGTTGTATGCTTGACACATCACTTCATTTATTTACATTTGTTGTATGCTGCTGTAATCCGAAAAGATTCCTGGCAGTTTACAACATCAAAATCCTAATATCCATAAAACAAATACATCAAACTGAACCATTCACCCACCCTGGCACCCATGGTGCAAGGAACAGTTATTACAGATGAAAAGCTCTGTGAAATAGCTCTGTCTTAGCTGCCTTCCTGAATACCAAGAGAAGGCACCATCTGAACTGTCAAGTCAACCTGTTCTAGAGGGATAGATTGGCAACAGAAAAACAGTCTCTTGGCCTGCCAACCTAGACCTCACTATGGATGGGGGGTATCCTCAAGATCCCTGCTTAAGATGAGTGGACCCGACAGGTCAGATCTGCTTGAAAGACACGATTCTGAAGATATCTGGGAACCAGGTTGTAAAAGTAACACTTTGAATTATACTCAGAAACTACTGGGAGCCAATGCATGCCCGCAGACTAGTGTTAGATGGCTCTGATGGCCATTACCCCACGTAGGCAAGGTGCTACATTTTGGACCAACAGCAGCTTCAAGAGCAGCCCCACATACAGCACATTGAGTAGTCTAAGCACAATGCAATGAGGGATTGAGTCACAGTTCTAAGGGCTTCCTGATTCAAGAAGCACTGCAACTGGGGCAGCAGCTGAAGCAGGACAAAGGCCCGCTTGGCCACATCCTCCACCTGTTGCTCAAGCAGCAACTGTGGATGCAGGAGGATGCTCTAGTTACAGTCCTGCTTCTTTGGGGGGAGCAGTATCACTCTGTTCAGGGTTAAAACCAGAGCTGACAAAGCAGCCAGATGGTTTTCAGACAAATAGTTGCTCTTTCTTGTCCTTCCCATCTAGCCCCTCATAGCCCCCAGGTAGTAAGTAGGTCAGGACTTCCATTGCATCTCCAGTTCAGCCCAGGTTAGCAATGTATATCTGAGTATTATCAGAGTATTGATGATACCTCAGCCTGCATTGATGAATGACCATTCTCAGCAACTTCGTGAATACTACGTCCAACCAACCCTCAGAAGCAGCCCAGGAGACCATGACTAATGGTATCAAAGGCCACTGAGAGGTCTAAGAGAAGAGACACACTTATAAATGTATGTTTATATATAAAATTTAACATGCAAAGCCAGTGGGCTTTTACACACTACAATGTCAGGTTCTAATTGAAAAGAACAAGCTTTAAAATTTCCCCAACCCAAGAAACTCACTGGGGGAATGAAGCCCAATAGCCTTACCGACCTCAAACAGCTGTTCTTACACTGAAAACATAGTGCCTATAGATAAATGCTGCTTCAAAAGAGAGGTCAGATTCAGGTACAACCCATAACTTAGTCAATGTACATAATAAGCCTAATGACACATGATATTCACACCCCATTAACGGACATGCTCTAGAGCATACAACAGCCTCATGTCTGTTTTAATGCATTGCCTAAACATTCCTCAAAACCCCTCTGCAGTATCTGGTAGCACTGTGCATCACTTGGTGATTAAATTAAGACTCTGTCCCCACTGCTCACTGATATACACTAAAGCATTAAAATGCAGCTCAGCTAGTACTTGAGACTGATTACTGAACTCAGCTGATGACAGGGAACAGAGCGTTATCCCTCTCTCAGTAGAAAGGGATGGAACCTTGTAATAACACGGCTACAGGGAGCACCCTCTATGATCAGAAGTTGGCTTTCCAATCCCGCTCTCCAGGCCTTATCCAGCTTTGTTTAAAGTTTGTTTAAAAAGTACTGGAAACCAATACTACTACAATGCACAAAAGACACACTCCCTCCTCTTTTTCATACCTGGAGCCATTCCCGGCGTTGGATTTTACTGGGTGCACTTTGGGTGCTCCTTTCTTGCTGCTCTCCTTGTTTTAACAGGTCTCTGGTACTCACATCTGGAAGGAAGCAGGGGGTAGTCAGAGCAGTATGAGGAGAAGAGGTCAAAGTCTAGACACTCTGCATAGCAAACTGAATTTGTTTATTAGCATGATTTGTATGCTGCCCCAATCACAGACTCTGGTTGATAAACATCCACTTTGGGGCAAGCTTCTGTATGCTATCAAATGTGTCAACCGGAATGCTACATATTATTCCAGGTGCAAACATACCATAATTTGTATAAAGGCATTACATTTCCTTACACAGAATGTTTTTTCACGGCTGCCGCATACTGACTCAATTTCTTCATTAAGCTCTCCACTATTTATTAGAACCCCCAGGGTTTTTTTTCTGTGAAATGACAGCTGCTTAACCTCCAGCAGTCTCTGTGTTGGACCTTTTGCTCCAATATGCAGCCTTATTTAAACGTTGTGCCCCTTGACTGACCATTCACCCCATTTAAAGAGAGCTTCTGGAGCTACTCAGTCACCTTGAATTGTTTAAAATCATTTATAATCTGCATAGCTCACTGCTTATCCCAAAGTCAAGATAACATATGTGGAATAGGCTCGGCCCTGATGCTCTGCCAGGATGGGCATTAATCCTTTGAACTTCAGCATAGACATTTTGGGTTGTATGCTGTGTATGCTGTGCTATGTTACCAGCCCCCTGATTACAGTACATATAATAGCTAAATGACAGCAATTATTCTGCTGGTTCTTCCTCCTATCTCCTAAGCCCTCTTCCAAGACAGGAGACCTGTGGTAGCTGTCACAGAGGAAAAAAGGCACAACCTTGGTCAATGGCCTGACAGTATATGCCAACTTTCACAATTCACACAGATGATACTACTACCAGGAACCCCATGTGACTGAAAATGGAAACTAAAACAAGCCGAGTAAAGTCTGCGGGACTTACTGCAAGTGAAAGAGGAGGAAAAATTCACCTAAATGGGGACACTTATCAATTCTTGGCTTATTTCAGGTCTTGCATAAATAATAAACCCATCTGTCCTCTGTACTCGGTAAAATAAAACAAATATAGTTCCAACATTTTCAAATATTTTTCTCCAAGCCTCTGTTTCTGATTAAGATACGCTGCAATCCTGTGATTATATGTGTTCTGTTGGTCAGGTACCTCTGTCCTTTCTGAACTTCCTTTTCCTTTAGCCTCTGTGTGCAGTTCCTCGATCTAAACAAGAGTGGTTGTATACTGTATATCCTACACAGAGGATTTATATACTTCAATCTCAGGATGAGACTTCATGCATTTCAAGGAAACTATCTCAAAACTATTTGTTGTTTTTGTAGACGAATGCAATGCCTGTTCAGGAAATTACCCAAAGCACAGCCATGTAAAGCAGATTCCCATTTGCTTGGTTAATATTTTTTAAAGATCATTGTCTCAAATTCCTTATTTATTAAACTTCAGCTTTTCACGTTAAAATAATTCCAGAACAGACGCAGCTCAACCGCACACGAGGCCAGTCTGCTGGGTGAGCTTGTCGCCCTTGCCGATGAGAAGCACCGGGGCAAAGTGACTCCTCTCGAGGGCAGCGGCGGGGAAGGGACTCACGGTTCGCCCTGGCGGGTCGCGCGCCGCTCCCGAGAAGGGCCGGAGGGCTGACCTTGCGGCCGCGGCAGTGGCTCGCTTCCGAGTGGGCGCCGTTCACGTACAGAGTAAAGCCCTCTTCCAGCTGCTTCAGCCTGATCTGTATGGGATCCTTCCTTGCGAGCGCCTTCAGGATCCTGGAACCGAAAACACGTCCCTTTTCCTTCCTGGCTGGCTGGCGGGCGGTGCTTCCCCCTCCGGCCACCGGGCCCTCCCGGCAGGCGGCCTACCTGTTTCTCTGCTGCAGCAGCACCAAGTGCTCGTCGTGCTTCTCATCGAAGTCGGTCACCATGTCCTTCGGTTACGCGCGCCCGCCTCCCTCGGGGCCTCCCTCCCGCGGCCCTCCGACGAGGCAGGCGGCGGGGGGG